GTGGCCACTCTACCCCACCTGACAGGAGGAGAAGCAAGGTGGAGACGAAGCAGAGTAGAAGATCACAATCCCCACCAACACTGGTTGAATATCTTACCTTTGCAAATTTTACTCAAGGAGATACCCTGCTATGGTGCATGCCAGGCCTCGCTAGGGTCTGTGCAGGTGAGGGGTCCCACAGCTTACATTTTATTTGTTTCATGGTAGTCCATCTCTGATGTCAACTATGGAAAATCACAGAACGCATCTGATTTGCCATTTTGATGTCAACTATGGAAAATCGCAGAAGGCATCTGATTTGCCATTCTCCAACCCTCCCCTACAACCATTTGGCTCCGAGGGGTTAAAAAGTATTTTGCTTCATCTGCAGGCATTTCTTCTCAATTGCTAACATCCATCCTGAATGCTTTTTTCTTTTTTTTCAAATTAAACTTTGTATTTTGAGATAACTGTAAATTCACATGCAGTTATATGGGATAATATTGAAAGACCCTGTGCACACTTTACTCAGTTTTTCCCAATGGTGTCGTCTTGCAAAACTACAGTGAGATATCACAGCCAGGATATAGACATGGATGCAGTCAAGACACGGAAAATTTCCATCAGGATCCCTCATATTATTCCGTATAGACATACACACTTCCCTCTCACACTGCCATTCCTTAATCCCTGGCAACCACTAGTCTATTCTTCATTTCTCAGATTTTGTCATTTTGAGAATATTCTATAAATGGGTCATACAGTATGTAATGTTTTAAGGTGGATTTTTTTCCCACTCAGCATAATTCTAGAGTTTCATCCAATTTGTCAGATTCCTCTCCATTGTTTGGAGTCTCCTTAACGTTTGTTTTATATGTAATGTCCAGGGTTTTTTTGTTGTACTTAGCAGAAGGAGTTGGGAAATGTACATCTACTCACTTCTTGGAAGCAGAAATTCGCCCTGAAAGGGTTTGATGCTGGTAGTTTTGATGGCTTGCTCCTGAGAGCAATGATGTAAGGACAGTTGCCTCGCCAGGAGCCAAGTCAGAGGCAGAGCCAGGTGAAAAGATGTGTCTCCGAAGGAAATAGAGTATGTCATGTAGAGTGTGAGGCCGTCTAACCCTGTGAGTATAGACCGTCTAGCAGCTCACCTCCCGATTAGCCATACTTTATGGCTCACCAGAATTCTGGTCTCCTCTCTCCTGTTTCCCACTCTGAAGATATTAAAATCATAAAGATTTTAAACATGGCTAATGTTTCACAAAGCCAATGAGAGGCTGGTGCACACAATTTGTGTCGTAGGGTGGGTTTCCTGAGCAGTGAAGGAGTTGGTCACTCAGGGTGTTTTTTGGGGACCATCCTGGGCACTGACCTCTGTGGGAGAGAGCTGAAGAAAGGGGGAGAGATCAGCTCTGATGAAGTCCCCCCAACAGCTTAGGTCAACTGTGGGCATGACCTTGAGAGTCGTCCAGAGCTGGCCCCAGCTGGCTAGGCCCTTCTGGAAGAGTCTCTGGGTGGGGCCGGTGCGGGAGGGCATGCAGTCAGCCAGGCGGCTCTGTGTAGCTGAGGTGTCCCCGAAGGGTCTGTCCACTGAGGCTGTCTGCCCACAGCACCTGGAGCATCCAGGCAATTCATCCTTTGTCAGAGGGGGCTCTGGGCGGTGCCTCGCAGCGTGCACCATGGCATGTCAATAACGAGATGGGTAGTAAAGGATACATTCTCAAGATTGTTTTACTATTAGGGGTGCATAGTCAAAACTATCCCAGGACTGGTTCCTTCTGTGGGAAAATAATGCGAATATCAAAATTAGCAGTGACTCGTAAGTTCTGATTTCTTGATATGAGTGTTTGGGTCTTTAAAATGGCTTTTTTTTTTCCCCCTAAAAGGGATGGCTTGCATCTATGTGGATTTTTAGATTAGTTTTCAATTTTTTCAAATACAAAAATGCAGAAGTCTTGTTTTCCTTAAGCTTCTAAGTCCCACTTATAAATCTGATTGTTCTTTTTATAAATCCATTGAATTTTAACAATCCTATTCAAGGGTGCTTTTACTAGTGTTCCAGTCGAACAGACAAAACTACCTTAAATAATCAGCCCCCTTTACAACTTGGTTAATTAAATTCCTTTAAACATTTTTACTGCATTTATAAATATAATATATTTGATTTCTCCTATGTAGTTGATGTGATAAATTAAACTTACGGATATCGTAAATCTCAAGTTCTCTTAAGCATCCCAGTGCTATTTACAAACCTAGCCCGATTCTCTTAGCTTAAAATCTCAGGTCTAAAATAAATTGTACATTTTCATGGACTCAGCACATTCACTGGTTCTGATAGACCAAATTATCCCCAAACACTTTACATCCTAGACGTACACAGGTTTTCCCCAGTGTAACACACGAGCATTGATATTCTAACCTGCTGAGAACTGGTTCTTGCAGGCAGGTGATCGAGACTCAATCTGGTTACAGGGAAGAAGGTATGAAGCCAAATCCTCCTTATGGGTATTTATCAAAACAAACTCCTATTATCGAGTCTATGAGCTCAAGTGCCAGTTCTTGTCTCGTGGGTGGTCTAATCACACTGCACAGAAGGTTCACTGAGGAAGATACAACATTACCCGCAGGCCAGACTCCTCCCAACACAGGGGCTGGACACGGGAATCTGACGGCATCAAATGTCAATGGCATCATTTATGGGTTCTTCATCTATCCTGCTCATGAAGCTTGGGGGCTGTTACTGACATATTTTACTAGGTCATACAGCTTTAATACCCCAAATTTTACCAACAAAAGCCCCCTTCTGAGCCTCTCTATATTAGAGAATCTTTGCATGTGGTTGGAGATTTGGGAGGCTGAGGCTCTTGTTGCAGCTGTCCTGGGGGATGGGTTTGCTGGTGAGAACATGGACTGAGGGTTGGGGTTCTCCAGGAGGCCACTGAGTATGCCCAGGGTGTAACTTAAACCAACATATCATAGCATTGCTTTGTGGATGTGAGAGTATTTTAAGATGGATTATACACATCTTAAGATCTTCCAAAGGTTAAATGATATTCAGTGAAAAAGTCATTTTACCATTTGCTGTGGACTGAATTGTGTCTCCCCCACCCCCAATCCATATATTGAAGCCCTAACCGCAAAGGAAATTGTATTAGGAGATGGAGCCTTTGGGATGTAATTAGGTTTAGGTGATGTTATGAACGTAGATTCCTCATGATGGGATTAGAGTTTCTTTTCGCTTTCTCTCCCTCCCACCCCCTTTCTCTTTCCCTTCCCATCACATGTGGACACAGTGAGAAGGCAGGGTGCTCTGCAAGCCGGAAGAAGGTCTTCCACCAGTATCCGACCATGTTGGCACCTTGATCTTGGCCTACCAGCCTCCAGAACTGTGAGAAATAAATTTCTGTTGTTTAAGCCCCCCAGTCTATGGTATTTTGTTATGGCAGCCTGAGCTGAGTAATATACTCTTCTGGGTATATTGGGGTTCTCATCCTAAGCAGAAAGATGTTGCTTCTCTTTAGGAGAATTTTGTCTGGGACCCATGCCTTGGATGGCCAGATCTTTCTGTGCCTGAGATGGACATATGGAGCTTTCTATAGTCCTCTGTAGGTGGAAGATAGGGACTCCTAGTTCACCCCGCTCAACTGGGATGGTCTTGCAGCCCATGTCCTAAGGGTTCAAATGAATTCTCGCCAGTTATTGAATTAACTGTGAGTTGAGCAAAACCCTCAACCTCCCTGAGATTGCACTAACTTCCCTCCCTACTTGACTAGACGTTGTTTCCTTAGCTCTAAGTAATTTCTATGGTTTCCATTGTCTTTAGCAGGACGAGCACATGAGTTTTTCCTCTCATTTGAGTCTGCGATGAGTTTCACCCCACTGCTTGGAAAGCAAACCTCTTTTAGGAATTCTCTTTTGTTTTTTTCTGTTTTCTTCTTTAACACTGACTAGGAAATACTGATCTAAGTAGAAGGATATATTTAGTGTACCTGTATATTATGAAGCATAGTAATACAACAAACACCCAGGACACTGGAGTATTTCATGTAGTCAAAGGAAGATGGAGCCACTGGGCCTCAGGAGGACAGGACATGGTGCAGTTCTAGGGATCTTAGAAACAAGAGCTTCTGGACCACCTCTTCAGGGTGTGGCTGTCAATCTCCTGCATGTACCCCTCAAGGTTGAATTCCCAGGAGGGTATCTGTGTGACATAGCTTGGTCACACACTCAACTCTGTGGTCAGGGGGTGTCACGTCCCATTTTGGGGGGACTCCAAAAGGAGGGAGGGAGGTAGGCAAAACAAAAACCCATCTCTCATGCTCTCCAAGCTAGAACTTGCTGGTGGCTTCCTTGCCATTGTTCCCCTTTGTTCCCAAGTAGGTTTCCCTGCATTGGGCGGTAGTGGGCCCAGAGTATCCTATTCTGTGGCTGGTCTCACTTCCCTCTATTGCTTGGAAAATCCTTGAATCTCATTTGAATGTCATTTTCAACCTTTCCAGTTTTCCAGCCTCGGTACAGATTTTCTTTGGTCATCTGGGGCTCATTTTGAGAAGGAATTAAATTCAGTGTTCGAGGCATATTTTGAGTTGTGGGAGATATTTCTGGGGCAGGTTGACAGGGTTTGTGGGTGAGGGGGGAGGAGTGGAGCAAGAAAGAAGGTGGAAGAAGCTGAATGTAGCAACTTTCATGGAGTAAAGGAATACAGGAGCAGGGATGAATCTGGGGGGAAAGAGACAATAAATACAGTTTTCAACCTTACGGGTTTGGAGATGGCCAGTAGGTCATTGCAAATGTGGGTTGGGTTGTTCAGCTTCTCTTCCCCTCGGGCTACAATTTTCTGCTCCTTCCCTCACTCCTGAAGGTCTGGTCTTTACCATCTAATTCATATTTGTCCACAGTATTTTACGTCTGTCTTGGAACAAATGATTATAACTACCATTGTAGGAACTTAAGCATTGGACACGTTGAGCATTGATATGTATGTTTCTTTCAATTTCAGACTGCCTGGTGGAGGTGGCTGGAGAGGCAGATGATTCTGGACTGAGAGCAGTCTCACTCCCTGATTTGAATCTTGGCTCCATCATTTACTGGTTGGTGTCACCTAGTTAGTCCCTTTGGCCTCTGGACTTCAGTTTCCCCATCCATAAAGTGAGGATAACCCCAGAACTTACTCAATTGATTCATTATGACAATTAAAGGAACTGATATACGTACAGCACTTAAAACTTAGTGCCTGGTATGGAATGAGCACAACGTAGATGCTGGTCATTGCTGTTATCTGTCTCTGTGTGTAGTTGTAGAGAAGAGACCTTTCCTGGGCATCAGGGCAATTTACTTGCTATGGGATTTTGAGGCAGGTCATTTTGCCAATGGGATTCCATTGTCCTGACTGTGGAATTAGGAGGCAAGTGAAATGTTCTCCAAGGGCCTCTTCACCTTTGGTTGGAATGAATGAAGGGGCAAGGGCATGTTTTTGGGTGCTGTCTGACCTTCATGCCATGTCCCCTAAGAATGAGATGCTGGGGAAGGATCCATAAAGGGTGACTCTCGGGATGGGCCGTGCTGGACAGAGCTTCTGCCCAGAATGTCTCTTGCTCATGGAGGTCAAACAGGTGTAGCCCCATATACGTAAGCAGGGGGCTCATAGGTTGTAGGGTTCTGAGAGCAATGGAGCCAAGTGCAGGGTCTTCAAGGATGCGGTAGCAGCAATGACCATTCAAAGACTCTCACTTCAAGGCAAGAATTCTTACCCTTTTTTATGCCCTGGATCATCTAATGAGTCCCAGGGACCCTTTCTCCAAAAAAATTTAATAAATTTTTAATTTATTTTTAAATGCATAAAATAAAACACACAGGATTACAAAGGGAACCAATTTTGTTAAAATATAATTAGCAAATATATGGATCAAACTGGTGATTTAGCAATCTACAGGCTTCCTCATTACCATAGTGAAAGCAAGCTTAGGCTCTCATGGCAGGTCTCACAGCTGCCTGAATTTTGAAATAGTGATGACAGTAAATAGTTTGAGATATCTGTGCAACCTGAATGTGAATGAAAATATCTGTGATTTCTCTTGGTGATAAAGTCTCTGGGACAACTGTGGTTTGTTGCTTGCATTCGCATTTGAAGGAATTGCTAAATTCCAGTTAGAACTTAGTGACAATAAAGATGTACCTTTTCCCCCCATCCAAGTGTGTGGATCCTCTGAATTCATGCCACCCAGATGATGTCTATGATTCTGTGACCCAAAGGCAGAACGATACACAGGTTGTGAGGCGTGCCAGAAGCTTGGGAAGAACAATTTCTAAAGAGCGCACAATATTCCCATTTGTCAGTGGGAAGATCTTCCAGGGAGTGTGGAAATTAGAAAATCCCTCTCGAAAGGGCAACACGTTCATTGTGGGGCCTAAGGGGTTGAGAAGCAGCATGACTTTGCATTCGGTGCCCACGAGCTAGGTGAGGCTGAGCTGGGTTGGTTTGGGCCCGGGTTTCTTGCAGAGATTCCTGCATACAAACAGGGTATGATTTCCTGTCAGAGTGCAGTAGGGTTAAATATATAAAAATGCCAGCTTATCACCCACAATGCCATGGACCAGTAGGATGATTTAATGCCGCTCTCAATGGCACCGCTAAGATTTATGTGGATAATCATCTCAGTGGAGGGGATGATAAGTTATCACATTTATTATTTGCATGTAGAAAGGTCCTTCTCAAATCCTCTGCACTCTCACAGTTCAAGCCTATGCTGGAGAAGAAGGTGAACGGTTTTTAGATTTAATTAGAGAGTCCTAGAAAGGTAAGTTTACGGGGTGTAACACATCAAGAGTAGACTATGTATTGAGACCAAAAGAAAACGTGGAGGACATTTGTTTTCTGGTGTAGGCAAGTCTGGTGGGGACACAGTGATCTCTGAAGTTTTAATATGAGCCATGTTCTAGAATGTCTGCGCAGAGGGAGTCATTTCTGGATGATTTTATGGCTATCAGAGCACAGGATCAGTGGAAGCCAGCTGGTGGGACCCAGACTCCCCAGGGGCTGTGGCATTCATGCAAAGACCTGTGTCTCTCTCCACCTGTATTCTGTACTTTTCGCGATCATGTGGGAGTTCCTGCTAAAATTTCTTGGTATTCAAAAAGGATCTTTGCAAAAGTTAAGAACCATTGCTCTAGAGGATAGGCAAATACTTTCACAGAAATGCAATTTCAAATTTATTCTCAGCAAATTTCAAGAGACATCAGTGTGTTCAGCTACATAGATGCCACATTGCAGAGGGATGGCTTTTATGAAACAGCATACTCAGTTTTAGATACAAAACTTTATTTCCTTATCTTTTTTGTTTCATTACTAATAGGTCCTTATTACAAAAACACTAGGATCTCAGTTTTTAAGTTCTATTTCAATATTATTTTAAAGCTTATGTTCATAGACAACCTTGAGTTTGTAGCTAGAAACTGGCCATAAAAGTTTCAGGTTGCAGTAGTTTCTAAGGGAACCATTGCATTTAAATTTGAGCTCAAATTAAATAAAATGGGACTTAATGGAGGCTCTTTGCTCATCTTTGGAAAATATAAGATGATGGGGGAAATTTATCAAAGAACAGTAGTTGGTATCATGTTTTTGTGAGTGACTCATTTAAGTGGTAATACATTTTTTTTTCTTATTTGAAGTGATGGGACTTGGGGGTCTGATGAAATTCTGGAACTTTCCTAAAGGACAAGTGAGAGATACACTTGTAATTAGTTGATGTTTTTTTCTACCGTGGGAGTGACTTCCTTGTCACTTCCTGTAGTGGAGAGAAGCATCAAGTGGCCTAATGCCAGAAGGGCTTTGAAACAGGGAGCAGTCTCCAAGTCAAGTTCTCCTGAAACCCGGCAGCAGCTCTGGGAGGACTCAAGAATTCAGAATGTTCAAAATGAATTTTCTCTTCAATGCTGGAGACCAATTTGATCTCCAGCATTAGAGGCCCGCTTGATAAACAGCCTGAGATCAGCTAAGGATAAAGGGTAAAGTTAACGATTAATCTTCCAGGTAATTTTCCCCGACCTAGTTGCTTAGACTATGGAAGCTGAGAAATCTCAAATCTGAGAACCATACCATTGAAACATGCTTGCAGGCCAAAGTCTTCTGGCTCTATGCACTTCTGCTCTAATATGGAGAAGGTAAGGTCTCAGAATCCTACAGGAGAGGACTGTGACTTGGTGAGGGTCATCTGGAGGAGGCTACGGAGTGTGAGCTTTGGGACAAGCCATTACGATGCAGGTCTCCTGCTGGAGAGAGGTGTTGACCATGTAGGAGGACTCAGTAGGTGAGCTTCTGTAGGCTAAGAAATGGGCTTTCAGAATTGGGCTTCCTGCAGAATCATTCAGCAGGCTAGCCACTGTGTCGACCTCCGTCACTTTGGAACAGGACAAGCAAATTTAGCAGGCTCCTGCCTGGCGGTGGTGTGGCTGAGGTTGGCTCTGGAGGCCGGCTCAAGGGGACCTCTTGACTCAGGTTTGTTCTAATGATGTGAAAAGGTCCGCAGATGGGGAGATTGTCTTAGGAAGCTGACATAATACCTTTAAGAACTAGCCAGGAAAAAAAGTTCCAGCTTCCTCCATCTTTCAGGACTAGCCTCCACTCTCCGGTTCTCTGGACAACCCCGTGTCCTCAAAAGCTGCTTGGAGAAGGCCCCGCTTCCCAGGATCCCATGGGCAGACTTGACTTTCTTGAGATTTAAGGTGTCCAGGGTGAAGGAAACGTCAGGCCACCTGCTTGGTGCCTGTCTGTTCGTGCAGGTAACAGAGCAGCAGGGCTGATCAGATGCGCTCCCAGTAGCCGCATTCCCAAGGAGGAGCAAACACGTGAATTAAAAACAAATCTTGTAAAAGGTAATTGTTTCTTTGATCACTGACTTGTGATCACTGATTTGGTGGGGCGAGCGAAATGAGGGGAGAGCCCTTAATTTAGGTAGCAGCTTGACTAGAAGCCACCTGATTAGGCTCCTTAAAAACAATGAATTTGGGGGCGCCTGGGTGGCTCAGTTGGTTAAGCGACTGCCTTCGGCTCAGGTCATGATCCTGGAGTCCCAGGATCGAGTCCCGCATCGGGCTCCCTGCTCAGCAGGGAGTCTGCTTCTCCCTCTGACCCTCCTCCCTCTCATACTCTCTGTCTCTCATTCTCTCTCTCAAATAAATAAATAGGGCGCCTGGGTGGCTCAGTTGGTTAAGCGACTGCCTTCGGCTCAGGTCATGATCCTGGAGTCCTGGGATAGAGTCCCGCATCGGGCTCCCTGCTCAGCGGGGAGTCTGCTTCTCCCTCTGACCCTCCTCCCTCTCATGCTCTCTGTCTCTCATTCTCTCTCTCTCAAAATAAATAAATAAAATCTTAAAAAAAAAAAAACACAATGAATTTGGAAGTACAAATGAGATTAAGTTATTCAAAGGCGGGGGGTTCATCCTTAAAGAAAAACAAACCATGAATGTCTCTCGGTGAGTTGCAGTGTGGGGAGCTGGAGAAAATACTGTGGGGAACCTTATGCTTCTACTCACCAATTCTACTAATCAAATCATCTGAATTTTCCCAGTGGGCTGTGGGCTCTTTGGGGGGAAAAGTGGGTCAATCTTGACCTTTGCATTTTTACAGTAGTCACAGATCCTTGACACTCAAATATTTGTTGAGGGAATTAGTAAAGTAAGGAAGGAGGCAGGCTAGTTTGGGTCAGTTAAGGTCAAGGATATAAGCACTTGTTAGTTCTATGCAAAATTGAGACATAGGCAGTATTTAGTTTCCATCTCCTTTATGAAGCTGTCTATACTACTTCAGGGGAAGGAGTGAGCGGTCCTCACTGGTCCCACTGAACATGTCATTACTGGCCCACTCTCCCATCTTACTTCTTCAGCTCACTTTCCTACCCTTGCTCACTCACGAATTCAGAGATGGCAAATGTGGGTAAACCGAAGAGTGACATGAAGTAATAATCTAGCTCACTAAACAATGTTCCCAATCTCTAGGTAATGTCTGCTCCAAGAAGGTCATTCTTCCCACTGCCCAGCCTCTCCCCGTGATTCAGGGGCGGCCTCCCAACCTTCTAAGACATCTGGACTCCTT